TCCGCCAATAAAAGTCCCCTGAGAACTTACGACTCGGCCGTTCTCTCCACCCAAACCATGATGCGGAGGATACGATACCTACCTATAACCTACCACATGAAAGTTGGAGCTTCTTGGGATGTCACGGAATGATTGAAGGATACGACCACCATCATAGTACCATGCCATCTCAATTAATCACACGCTGTTCATGATTTATCAAAGAGAGAGATATAGAGAACGAGGATTTTCGTACTCGTATCACTGCTAAAGAGGAAATCACTTCATTTCCAGTGCGATTTATTGGATTTTATTTAATCCTCAACTTGAGTGAGGTACAAAGATCCGAAGAAAAGGGTTTAGATGGTTCCTTTGGAGAATCGACTCACAACAGAAAGAGGGGATCACGAATTAAGCGTAGGGTTGTAAGTTCATAGGAAATGGGCAAGAAAAAGAAAAGATTCACACTAAAGTAGTGATGCATATCAACATGCTTTTGTCATGCATTTTAGCTGCAGAGTTGCCGGACCTCGCATCAAATGAATCCTGGAACGGACAATGATGAATTGAAAATTCCACGGCGGCGGCGGGTTCTTCTTGCATAGAACTGTTCATAGTTCATAATGTACACAGGCATTAGAGATTAGACCTAACCCTAACGAAAGACGAATGCAAGTGCAAGTGCAATCGCCACAACATTAATAACTAGAAAGTAATAATAAACGTAGGTAGATGTGTAATTAATGTTTCTTTCTGTGGCTATATTGAGCACACATCGGTGATTTCTCATACCTTATCTAGTAATTACCTATCAATGGATGATGAGACTTATTATTAAACTATTAACTATCATTACTTCGTAATTACATATATTTACTACCCCTCCTAACTTCCCAACCCTCCACAATCATCCACCAACAAAATATATAATACGACAGCGGTGACACCCATCAATTCTTTGGTTAGATTTCGAATCTTTCTACCATTGCGTCTTAATAAGCCCTGCTTCTTGGGATTTGTTGTTTTTTGCAGAGTTTTCATCCAAACTTTCGGTGTGCGAATCTTCATCTATTGGAGTCAGTTTGGTGCAAACTTTCCTTCACCGTCTCGATCATATCTTCTTATTTTCACTACTTGATCGACTCCCTTACTGTTATGCATCAAAAGGCTCTCTACTCCTGTACTTCTGAATCATGAGTGGCTGGAGTCCTCTTGGATTCTATCAACAGATTCTCCGATCTTATTCGTTTAGAGAATCCTTGTTTGCGGAAACCAACGTTGTACAGGATCAAGCAGCGAGAACATACCCTGGTGCCGCTTCCCGTTGAGATGTACTCTAATGTACTATATGTACACACATTGGCTAGATCTCCTAGCTGCCTGTACCCGAATTATTGACCTACTGCTTAAGGAGAAAAAGTCTTTCTCTCTTGCATCGATAGCTTCAATTTTCAATTTTCCATACATATAAGGCTTCTTCCCACACACTGTATAAGGCGGTCTATGCACACGTGTCGTACAACGGAAGGCCCAATATGTATGTTGAATGACGTACTGTAGGTCTAAAAAGCCCAGAATGAGAAAGAAAGAAAGAAAAAAAGCATTCATCTTCCCCTCCAGTTTCTCAAGAAGCCAGACATTCTATAACGCAAAAGAGTCTAATTTTCACGTTTGCCGCAAAGAAGAAAAAATAATGTTTATTGGTGGGTATGACGATAAATTTTCATTTCTGCCCAAAAAGAAAGTTTGCCTGCTGTAGCCGTTTGGGCAGTTTATACGTGTGGGCGCAAATTCTGGACCTCGAAAGGGTCATCGGATTCAAGAGGCGCATTGAGAGTCACAAAAAAGCAGCCAATCAAAGTTATTGCGCAACTTTAGGAGCTTGAAGTGTCAGCCTCATGAGACATTTCCTACCACACAAATCATACTTTGGGTCAATTTTTTGCTGTTTGGGGGCCAAACAATATGATAGGTGATACAATAGGAGGACTGCCCTCGGATTATAGGGTATCCGCGTTTCATGTCTTTTTTGACTCATCTTATCCGAATCTTTCGGAACGTGGTACTTGTTCAGCCTCAACCCGTGGATACAAATAAACGGGTGGTCGGGCGAGACAAGGCAAATGGTTTGCTTCTTAAAATGAGGTCGAGATTTCGAGACAAATGGTTGATGACTCTTAACTCCTTAGTAAGCCTCATATAAACCAGCCTCTGAATATGATGGAACATCTTTCACGGGGTTTCTAATATCACTCTTTCGTCGGTTGATCTACTACTCGTTATCACTATCACAGTCACTATCACAATCCAGTCAGCTGGATGGGTCTGTGATCCCGCCCTATTGATCGGTCAAAAGGCAGACGGCCAAACTTCTTTTGTGGTAGGTAGAAATGAGGGGCGGGTTCCACTGGTCCAACCGAATTAATGAAGCGAGATTCACATCGCGGGGTGGTATCCAAAGTGAGGGTATCCCGTGCTAGAGATACTTGCTCACGTCACGTTGCCATTGGGTTAGTGCTCACAAGTGCGATTATCTCCGTTATCGAACGAGTTGGGATCGGAGTTTGGACCGGAGTGTCTTTATTGATTTCGGAAATATTGAAAGTTTGCTTCGTACAGTAATCGATTGTTTGACATCACGCACGAAGGAGGGGTACACTTCCTTTTTGTACAGCATCCAGAGATACCTCTCACCTCTAGAACTACTATATCAGCATGATGTTATTCAAACAAATGGTTTTGTAAGATTTGATTGATTTGATTGAATCCGAAGGGCCATGGACTGTACTCGGTATTTCGATAAGAATCCAGCGCTAGATTCCCATCGTCGATGGATTCAGAGATCAGTAAGTCCTGAGAACTAATCGTCGTAACTCTTATTTCTTGAGTCACACCTCTCTTGTTTAATCTAAATACACAGCATCCACTCTTTGGCTGAGAACATTCATGTAGTTCTTCAAATAGACAGATACAATCTCAACGGTGAGGTCAGGTGTATACACAAGATAAAACATCATCAGATTCGTACAACATCAGGGTGGCGGTTATCTCGGAAGTGCGATGAGTCTCGCGTTATGAGGTGGTATTTCACGGATTGAATCCTTATGGTACCGGATCAGATGCTCGATGAGAGGATGAATGAACATACTCAGGTTCTCAATAACAATCTGCCAATTTCTACGCGATCTCGCTTTACCACATCTAAGTATTTCCATTTTGCGAACGAATTACAGCAATATTGTCTATTACGTAGCTGAATTTTCTCTATTCATCGCCATCGACCTCTTTCAAGACCCGTGGGAAGTTCGCCACTATCATAAACTCGATCTCGTGATGTGCTAGGTAGGTATGCATCCTACCAGGAAGGAGATCCAAGCCAGCACTTTGTTGGGTTAGGCTGGATAGTTTGATACTGTAATGGAAGGCGCAAGCATTCGCCCATTCAAGTGAATGTCAACCAAATGGAGTCCTGCTTGATTACTACCATTTTGATGGACTATCGTACTCGATACTCAAATAGTAGACCCCTCATCCAAGCATGATTCCGCTTCGCCCCAGGATTATTTACGAAATCTTTAAATACACTGCGTGAATATGATTGAGCAATCCAATCGTTTCACCGTCGGATGACTGTATGAAAGAGTCGATAAATATCATTACCCAAGTAAGCTAGCGCCAAACGGTACATCTTTAGCGCCACTCACTAACGACGCCACTTTCCACCCAATTCCTTCATACGTATTCAATCACAAACGAGGAAGAAATCTATATTCCTATCAAAAATTGGCCTGCATTGCGCAAAAGGAATGAGAGAATTTTCAGCTAAGCGGCTTGATGGGATCACTGGTGGATGACGAGGCTCGATTTTGAGTCATGATGGGTAGTAATGAGTCATGCATATTCCTTTTAATATCATCCAATTGACAACAATCCAGTGGAAGGCGATGCTTATTTTGATAGCGGAGGCATTTGTCAATAGAACTTCTTGTTGCGCATGTATTGATGTGTGTGGAGCTCAGTATCTGGCGGCAATCTTCATGTGGATAATCACAAGATTCCTTCTCTGCAGAGCTTAGGGTTGGGCAACGCCGAGTAGAGTCCTGGACGAGGCTGCAAGAATAAGGTAGGCAGGATTGAGCGGGGCAAACCCAGGTCAAGTTGAATCAGGTATAGTCGAAGTAAAGCAAATCCAATCGTCAAGCGATGTTGCTGACGACGTTGTAGGTCGTACGTAAAAATTCGGAGACAGGCAAAGACTAATGATGCATGGTCACCACTCATCGTATTCTATTATTCTCGATAGACATGCATGGTAATTCAAGAGAAAACTTATTCGATATTGCGAATCAACTCGAATATTCTCAGTCCACGAATGAAGCTTCACCTCATACATGTACATCACATGTGCATTCACAAATTGTCAACACAAGAGTAGAAGTAAAATCTGACCATTTATCTTTCCGCTTTCACATTTCCCCAAAGCCGTTAAATGCCATCGCTGAAGTTTTTAGCTGTAGCTCACTGCAACATACCTACACACTCATCCTATCAAAAGTATCTCATCTCTCGCCAGGTTTCTCTGGGTCCTCTTCCATCTCGAACTTCCAAGCTTTCCCGTCTCTATCTCTTCTAACCCCCTATCTCAAGTCATTCTCTACCTAAAAATGTACTATACCTTAATATCCCTATCCAAATTGGGAAATACAACAGGAACAAACGGATAAAGAACATGAGCAAAAGAAAGAAAAGATAGCAATGACAACGGAAAGAGAGAAACAATGTCAACAAAGAAAATTTCAAGCAAAAAAAGACAGCAGGCCAAAAACACAACATCAAGAAAGTAATTAGGTATCACGTTTCAAATCCTGAACAACACACTTTCTTCTCCCTTTCCGCAATATAAATACCCCCCCTGCATTCCCATCTCTTCCACCCACCCACTCACTCCACCCAACAAACCCCCCATCCAATCCCAAACCCTACCCAAAACAAAAAAAATGAACACCCTAACCCTGGCCCTCCTAATCTGCGGCCTCTTTACCCTCCTTCTCCTCCTCCTCCTCCTCCTCCTCCTCATCTTCCTCCTCTACGGCTGCCGCAACCCATCGCAGAAACACAAAGATGCGGTGAAGATGCAGATGCGCGAGTGGCCGCGCGAGAGATGTAGAAGGGGGAGAGCACCGGAGCAGCTGGAGAGACAGCATGGGGTGTGGGTATAGTTCTTATTTTATCTCCAGAAGTGAGAATTGAGAGGGAAGAAGAGGAGTGGAGGAGATAGGTAGGAATTTCTAGCTGGCTGGAGATTTCGGATGAGGAGTGTGGATATGGCATTATAGTTTTTTTCTTTCTTTCTTTCTGATCTTTGTGTTTATGTTTATGTTGAAATGGGCTTTGTATTGTGTGTTTATGAGGTGTGAGTAGTTAGGAATCTGGTACATCTGGTGATGTGACGTCAATGTGATATCCTCAGCTGCCAGTCAACAGCATAGGGCCCAAGGACGTTTTCAAGACCAGACCACTGATCTGATCGAATCTTTCCTGCAGATAGCATATCCAACAAAATAACCAACACTGTATATCCACATATTCTGCTTACGAACAGACGCGGTAAGAAACAGAATGATATTCTTGCCTCCATCTATCCAACTCCAGATATATTGATCCACCAACCCGTGAACCTCTCGACACGAGAAAAACTACTCGACGACTTCTTCACTGGACATTCGAAGCAGCAAGACAAGTAATGAACCCAACTTTTCATCCTCAGATCACTGTATTTCTGATGGGCAATATAAGGTCCACGATCGCATGGATTTCGTATTGGCTGGTGGAGAGATCACGAGGTATATATGCTTCATGTGTTGTTTATGAATGTGGGGAGTATGGGATGCTTATTGCTGTATATGTAGATACCTATGTTTGAATCTGAATGATGTGGTTGATTAATAGGAGAGTATGGATACAGATGAGTGGTGGTTTGGATGGGTGATTGATGATAGCGAATAATGGATTAATGGGAGATTAAGAAATCGAAGGCAAGTCAAGTTGTATCGGGAGGTGGTGATTGGAATAAGAAGGGGGAAATGATATTCTTGTTCAGAAGGTATAGGAGATTCAAGGCTGTTTCATGGTATGGTGATTAGGATACACTGTGTCTGTTTTCGAATCTCAGATTGTGTTGACTAGGTTACTAAGTATTATCTAGTCCTGAAATCCTGAATATATAGATTGTTCCCGCTGTTATATGAGTCTCGAAGAATGGATAGATATGTTGATTCTTGTAAGGAAGTGAATGGAATGGATTTAGTTCGGCGTGTACATGTGGCCATGCGCAAATGTAACCTTGAAACTCCTGGGAAGAAAGCTTTCTCGTTTGGCAAATTTCTTCGAGCTTCAGGGCTACCGCCATGTGTGCTATGGGCCATTGATCATATATCCAATACAATGACAGTCAGCTATCCAAAACTTATAGGACCCGATCGAAGGAACGAAGTAGACTGTTAGCTTGAATGTTTGCAATGATGTCATATGTTTACAGACATTGATTACCAAGTAGCTTTACTCATTGCTGCTTGATCAACTGCGAAGAAATAAGATGATATTGCATATCACATCCAGATGGAACTGATATGTAGTTGATTTGAGTAGGAAACAAGAAACGAAAGTGGTAAGTGTGAAGAAATCGAAGTAGCTCAAGGTACCTGTCTCTCTGTAAGCGAAACAACAAGTGGAAATCGAGTACCCTTTAAGAGACTTCTTTCATTGAAATAAAAATTCATTCTAAATTGAATATTAGAATCTAAACCTATTATACGAAAATGTGAGCTTTCTTTATATCATCAATGAGGACTATATATAGTCAATACCATATGGAAAAGAGAACTGGATTCTTGTTTCGATTACGTAGAGCCTGTCTCGAGCCTGTCTTCCCCAGTCTGCTCTAGATGACTAAGCCCACATCAAATTCCACACCACGTCTCGGGTTGGTCGAAGCGTATTTCCGTATTGGGATCGTATTTCGGATTTCGTATTCGCCTATGCGGAAAGTCTGGGGGTGAGATCACCAGTGGGTGCACGGACTCACGGGACAGCTTGTAAGTAAAGTACAATTTGACATCAAAATTTATCAACTTTAAAATTTAATGAAAATTCAATAATATCTTGAATATTCTCTAGATAGATACTCTAGATTTATTAAGTATCAAAATATAATATATTAAAAAACAAAATAAAAAACTCAAGATTTGGATTCAAAAAGCTTAAAATTATGTTTTCTCATTAAAAAAGTTAATAAAAAATTATATATTCGATTATAAAGGCTTCAATTTTTCTTTTTTTAATTCAGTCCTTGTAAAAAAATAGAATTTTTATATTTATAAACTATATTTTTCAATTTGAAAGGAATTTATTCACAGATTGAATTATAATTGAATTATCAAAATTGACCTTTCCAGTGTAGAATTGTGCTTTATTTACAAGCTCTTCCGTGAGTCCGTGCACCCGCTGGTAGATGGAGATTGAGAAAAGACATGCTCACTTGGCGGGCTTGAAATAAGTACGTACACTCAAATGGTTGCAGATGAGATGTAATCCCGTCAATTTCTGGGGTTTTCTTATCAATCTCATTTTTTCTTGCTGCTTAGTGAATTTCCTTATATATAATAATCATCTGTTCTTTCCGTTTCCGAAGAATTCTCATTCCTCAAATCGTCAAAAGGTCGCCGTACACCTCGATTGAGTAAAACAATAATTGACCCCTCTCTGGTATCTTGACGAACAGAAAAGGATTCTAGGCATCGTCGACGACAACAAGATCTAGGACTTGAACACGTCGCTTGATCAGAGATCATTTCATTTTGATATCTCTCAAACCATTAGTCTTTTCTTCAAATCACGAGTTTGCCTGCCTGTATATTCATCATATTGATTTAACTCCTACATTCCTTCTTTGTTTCTTTACTTCTTAGCGACGGTTACATTAAAAAGAAAAATCTCGCCACACCTCATTTATTTCAGCTCGAGATCTGATATAGTGTCAACATGGATAAACAGAAAATCAACACCGATAACTTCCCAGCGACACAGAGTGATGAAGACGCAGCGACACAGAGTAACGAAGATGAAGTTAAGGACAAATATTCGAGTCAAGCGCAGAATCAGACATCATTCACACATTTTATGGTAATAAAATCGAGCCAAGTTCCTCATAATGGCTGTACAAACTAATACATCTCGGTAGAGAATTTTCTCATACTCGACTACGGCTGATAAGGTCGTACTAATCATTGCTTGTCTTGCACAAATTGGGACTGGAGTTGTATGTTGATATATTACTTGATATTCATTGAAGATTGCTTGACTGATATTTTATATAGACTTTACCGCTCATGAATATTGTCTTTGGTAAATATATGTCCACTCCGATTGAGAACTATTAACTAAAGGTCATGGTAGGTAAATTGGTGGGCAACTTTTCAGACTATTTTTTACCTGGTACGACTACTACCAAGGCCCAATTCACCAGTACCATCAACAACCTTACGTTCGTGAACCATTTTTCTTTCCAGTTCTTTCTTCATCGTATCCATTTCTGTTCAATGCCTCAAATGCCTTTGTGATCTACGGACTACTATTTCTGGAAACGGGCAAGTGTTCGAAGTTTCCATTATTACAGGGCTTACTTCGCATATGAGATTGGAACTCTCAATGTTTCATAGATCTTTGATGTGTTAAAACAGATTCCGCACACCAGATATGTCCCATAGATCATATGGAATCAAGTGGTAAAAGGCTATCAATAGTTGATGTCTCATTGTTGTCAAAGTGCATTCTAGACCAGCGGAAGCCCACAATGTACTCGATGTAGCTTTTACATATGGAATTCAAATTCTAGAAGGCGACACATAATTAGAAAGTACAAATTGAACTAACTTTTCGAAGCTTATTCGTTACTTATCTGTTCATTGCAAGATGGGTTTTGAGTTATATTTCAATGTTCACATTTCGCCTGGTTGGGCTTCGAATCTCCGCCAAATTACGACTCAATTACTTAAAGGCGTTATTCAGCTTACCCGTTGGTGTCCTTGACACTCTACCAAGTGGGCAAGCTTCAAATACAATTACAACTACTGCAAACATATTGCAAGTGGGGATTTCAGAGAAACTGGGAACTATTTTACAATATTTGGCATTGCTAATCACAGCCATTGTAATTGCATTCACGTACAGCTGGGCATTGACTTTGGTAACCAGCTCAGTTCTCATATTTGTTGCTTTAGTTTATGGTAAGACTTTCCACTTCTCTTACACTGATTTCTCTCCATGCACTTGATACTTTTGTCCCTCTTACGTTACCATCGCTGATGATAACAGGAACCGTCGTACCAATTGTCATGAAAATGTCAAAAAATGCCGAGCATGCCGACGAGAAAGCATCTGGAGTTGCAGGTGAAGTTCTTGGGTCAATCCGAATGATTGTAGCGTGTGGTTCTGAAAATCGGACCGCGAAAAAATATGCTGGATGGGTTGAAGAATCTCGAAGGCGAACATTGAAAATGAGTCTTTGGGTAGGCGTCCAATTTGCACCACGTATGTGTTTCCAATGGGATTATTTCTTCTTTACCGGCTAACAATTATTCAGTCATGTTTGCCGTTTACGCGTAAGCATTTAATTCCTCAATGATTTGATTCGGATTAGTGTTCATCTTCCCAACTACATGTCTTCTTCTCGCATGCGCCGAAACCAAACTAATCATTTATACCAGTACAATGGCATTGTGCTTTTGGTTCGGCTTTCGGCTATTTTCAGAAGGCCACCTGAAAAATGTTGGAACTATACTCATTGTATTGATGTCTGTGGTGATGGTTGCAATGGCAGTGAGCCAAACAGCCGCACCTATCATGGCTGCTGGTAAAGCAGCCACAGCAGCCACGGATTTTTTCGCGGTAATCGACACACCTAGGCCCGGTACCAGTGGGCTCAAAGAGCCTGAGGTATCAGCCCGTGAAGATATCACTCTCAACTCTGTTACCTTTGCCTACCCGAGCAGACCTCATGTCAAGGTTCTCGATGATTTATCAATGAGGTTTGAATCTGGCAAAATCACAGCCATTGTGGGAGCATCTGGTTCTGGTAAGAGTACTATCGTAGGTATGTGTAACTTTTATTGTTAAATTTGATTCCTCAACGTTTTGTACTCTGTAAATGAGTAATTATTGACGACCTACGACTAGGTCTTTTAGAAAGATGGTACAATCTCGAGGAACAACGAATAGTGATACCTCCAAGCGCTATGAGAGATGAGAAAAAAGATAAGAAGAAAGAAGAACGACCAAAGACTCCCGAGGAGTGCGATGAGAAACAGGATCCAGTTGCTCTATCCGGTATTATTGCTTGTGGAAGTAACGAGTTGAGATCCCTCGACCTCAAATGGTGGCGAACACAAATTGGCCTTGTACAACAAGAGCCGTTTATATTCAATGATACGATAGCCAAAAATGTTGAATATGGTTTAATTGGTTCAGAATGGGAGCTCGAAAATACCGACATGAAGAGGAAGCTTGTCATAGAGGCTTGTAAAGAAGCTTTTGCTGATGAATATATCGTAAAATTACCCTTGGGATATGATACACAAGTTGGCGATGCTGGTATTAAGCTAAGCGGCGGACAAAGGCAGAGGTTGGCTATCGCTAGGAGTATCATCAAGCGACCAAAGATCTTGATATTAGACGAAGCTACTAGTGCAATCGATGTGAGAGGAGAGCAGATTGTTCAGGCAGCCTTAGATAAAGTGAGCGAGGGTAGAACAACTATCACAATTGCTCACAGGCTTTCAACAATCATAAAGGCTGACAAGATTGTGGTCCTGAAGAAGGGAAAGCTTATCGAAGAGGGAACTCATGAGGGATTACTTTCGAACCCGGACAGCGCATATAGTGCTCTTGTCAATGCCCAACAATTATCTTTAGGAGATGTCTATCAAGAAGAGTCTAATTTGGTGGAGACAACGGACCCCCTGAAACGAAAAATGAGTGCAGCGGAAAAGGAAAAGGAACAAAAAGAAGCAGTGGCATACAAACCTAAGGGTCTTGCCAGAAGTCTCGGACTTTTCTTGTATGAGCAACGCGCTAGATCGCAATGGTACTTGATGCTTGTGATAGGTGCTATAGCTGCCGGCGCTGCCTATCCCATTCAAGCCTATCTATTTGCACAAATCATTTCAGTGTTTTCATTGACCGGGCCCAGACTGAAGGCTGCCACAGAACACTACGCCTTGATGTTCTTCATTCTTGGGTTGGGTGCTGGTGTAGCTTGGTTCATTATGGGTTATTCTTCGACCATGATATCTGGTCATATCACTTCCACATACCGTCAAGAGTACTTTGAGAGTATTTTACATAAGCCGATTGCCTTTTTCGACGCAGAGGAAAACTCTAGTGGCGAACTCACTGGTCGTGTCGCTAATGATCCAACACAACTTCAACAACTACTTGGCATTAATATGGCCATGGTGCTGACGGCAATCTGTAACATTACTGGTTGCATCATCATCGCTTTTGTTTTTGGCTGGAAGCTAACTTGCGTGGTGGCCTTTGTCGCCCTTCCTTTATTAATTTTTGGTAGTTTTTATCGCATTCGGTATGAGATTCAGTTTGAGAAAATGAATCAAGCAGTCTTTGCTGAAAGTTCTAAATTCGCTGCTGAAGCAATCTCTGCATTTCGAACAGTCACCTCGTTGACCTTGGAGGATATGATTTGCACCCGTTACGAGGAACTGCTGAAGTGGCATGCAAAGGGCCACGCCAAGAAAAGCAGATATTCATCAATTGTCTTCGCCGCTAGCGAGAGTTTGGGACTAGGGTGTATGGCTTTAGCATTTGTGGGTTTATTTATCTTATTTCAAGGTGCTATAGCGTTTCGATCCAAGCTTGGAGGTTGAATGCATGCAGTGTTCCTTAGATCTAGGAACCCCTTTTTATTGTACTGCAATCCGATTTGATCTAAAGTCTCAGCTAACATGAGTGGCCTTTTAGTGGTATGGTGGCACTCTCCTTGCTTCGAGAGAATATGGTCCAATCAACTTCTTTGTGGTTTATACTGCTATAATAAATGGTGCCGAGAGCGCTGGAAGTCTTTTGAGTTTTGGCCCTAGTTAGTACTCTATTGATAAACTTCCCCTGTTCTTAGTTACTAATCTCGAGATAGATATTGCACAGGCATCGGCAGCAGCAAATAGAATATTGAGCTTTAGATTGCCGGCAGAACTAATTGGAAAGTCAGCATCGCAAATACAGAATATAGAGGGCGGGGTGAAGATAGAACTGAGAGATGTCTGGTTCAAGTACCCTACTCGTGATGTTCCAATATTTACTGGTTTGAATATTACGGTAAGTCAAATCTTAATACAGTTGATGATGAGGATGCTGACTATTATAGATTAAGAAAGGCCAATTTGCTGCGTTGGTTGGGCCTTCAGGCTGTGGAAAAACATCAATTGGTAATTTCACATTCGTCATACGGAAGACAATTTACTAAACCGGACACTAGTCAGTCTCCTTGAAAGATTCTACGATGTTCAAAAGGGTAAGATATTATGCAACGACACCGATATCTCCGAACTTAGTATTCGAGAATACCGGAAAATGATCTCGCTCGTAGCACAGGAGCCTACTTTGTTTGGAGGCACCATTAAAGAGAACATATACTTGGGTGTCGATGAGTCGACTCCGGAAGAAACCCTCCATAGAGTCTGTCGTGATGCCGAAATTCACGACTTTATCATGTCCCTCCCTGATGGCTACAATACTAATGTCGGTACCAAGGGAGTTGCTCTCTCAGGAGGACAAAAACAACGGATCTCAATAGCTCGTGCGCTCATTCGCAATCCCAAGATCCTTCTTCTTGATGAAGCGACATCAAGTCTGGATTCTGAGAGCGAGAAGCTCGTACAAGCAGCATTTGAACGGGCGGCAACAGGTAGGACGATGGTTGTCGTAGCCCATCGACTAGCCACTGTGCAAAATGCAGATGTGATTTTTGTGTTGGGTGAAGGTAGGGTATTGGAAGTGGGAGATCACGCAGCATTGTTACGGAAGAAAGGTGTATATTATCAAATGGTAAGTCTTCGAATGCTCTTCAAAGTCCTCACCCCAAGCCCATTCAAACTTCATTGTACTTACAAATTTCAGTGTCAATCTCAAGCACTTGACCGATAGACGAGTAGAAACCGCAGGAAGCGAAATATCTCATCTCAACTTTTTTGCATTAGAAGCATTAATTCCCAACTATACGGTTGGGTAGAGGACAAAAGAATCCCACTTAAATCCTGTACAATCACGATGTATAATTTAGAATCCTCTCACATATTCATCAACCTATGAGCTGGCATTTTGAGCTCGGTAATGTTGCAGTGCATATTTTGTGCATTCTGTGCATAAACTGACAGGTAGATGTAGATAACATCCAATTCGATGGTTTTTGATACGTTCCGACATTGGAGGGACTATTTTGTAGTTGATTGTAAGCATTTAAATTGGCTGGTTCTTGATTGATGGTGGTGAAATTGAGTAGGTAATTGAGAGGTACTTGAGAGGTTATCGTGAATTTGAGGTTTAATATAATAGTACACCGAGTCGTGATTTTGACCCACGCTATCCACTATTATTACCTACTGTGCGTGCACTTACCTCAGTGCACGAGGGAGGAGCTTTGGCTGGACCAATATGGTGGGGAGGAAAGAGAGGTGATTGCCACATTTGGTAGAGATGCATCACTGGCGCCGGGTAGGAAAGAATGGGTCGGATAGTTGCTAGTTGCTACTTGCAATGGTCTTGAACATGTATTGGAGGGAGATGGGAAGTGAAGACTGACTGACTGACTGATTGATTGATTGATTGATTGATTGATTGATTGATTGATCGATTGATCGATTGAAAAATGCGATGAATATTTCGGCTTGGATGGAACAAATGCAACTTGACTCAATCTATTGGCAAGAAGCAAGTTCGTCATCTCGAACTCCAAATCCAATCATCCAAGAGTATTCCTCATGTAAGGCGAAGAACATATCAAGAGGCTTTGATATTCACCGCCCTCAAACGTTAAAAACTGTAAATAATCGGGGTCTCCTTGGGGATCCACCGAGGGAAACCCACCGACAACAATGTAGCTCTAAAGGGATGGAAAGGTTGTACGAAGTATTAAGAAACGAGAGACAGACTCCATCTCAAAAGAAAGACTACTTGCCACGGTACTTATACAATACTTGGTAGATCTCCTTCAACTTCACTTCACTCCACCACGACGATTCTCTCTTTTTGTGTTGTGGCGACGACGAGGACGACAACGAAAACGACAAGAATAACAGCAGCAATAACGATTCACTCTATCAACGATCATTCGAATTGATATATTCTTCTTTTCTTTCTTTCCCTCCCCACCCATGTTGACTTGACGACCCGCGAATCTCGTATCAAGAAATCAAACCTCAGCTGAATGAAAAAATCATTTTGACGATCAACATTACTTGTGGCGTTTGGTCAAGGATTACCCAGCAGTACACCACTGAACATCACTAAAAATCAAAGTCGAGATTCGCTTGATCCCCAATTGTTTTCCATTTGGCGCTTTTCTCCAGCCTCTTAATTAAAATTACAGCCCGCCCCATCTTGTGGTCCATTGTCTACACACTCTACACTCTACCACGATTCACCACGGCTACGCTACCTCTCCACTCCTACTTTTCTACCTACCTACTTACCTAGCTAAAGAAACGCAATCTCTAAATTTTATCTAAAGGAGCCAGATCTCGGTCTATCATAAGCTATCATCTGCGTCCCCATCCCCTCCTTAGTTCAATCATCTAGAGCATCAAACTTAAACAATTTTACCATTGCGAATCGCCAAACCTTAAGAACACAATTGATAACGAATTTGGATAAGATACACAACGACGATTTCCGATTGACGAAATCATTTACGAAACTGGTTGATATGTTAATGATATGATCACGAATGAATACAAACCCCGGAGCTGAAGTTGAGAAGCAGAAGTCCCTACCTAAGGGTACGGAATAATGGCCGAGAAGCGCGATCGGTATGGTACAGGAGGAGATCCATCGATTGCGCAGAGAGGGCATGGACATGGAAGTGGGAATGGTAGTGGTGGACGAGGATATAATCGACGCGCGCCTCCAAATTTGGGATTCGATGGCGAGGGGAGCTCAGTTTCGGGTCGCGGACAAAGTGATAGGAGATACGGTTCTATGCCCCCAAACACGCCCATGACGCCCTACACGCCAGTAACTGCAGGATATGATGGTGGAGAGAGCTTTATTTCGACAGATACACCGAGACACGATCGTTATTATGGTGGAGAGAGTGCGATTGGAGGACGACCAGCAGTTACACCGGGAGCTGCAGGCTATCGTGGCGGAGAAGGCTCTTACAATGGTGGTACACCACAAACCGGCAGATTTAATGGCGGAGAAAGCTATGGCGAAGGTCGCGCTCCTAGGCCAGGAAGATACGATATCGCTGAGAGTACTATGTCTGTTGACACACCACGAACGGGTCGATTCGATCCGGGTATGGAAAGCTCTATCGCGCATCCCGATACGCCGCGCACTGCTCATTATGATACCACTGCGACTACCATGTCCATGGACCCATCACGAACAGGACCATATGATAAAGAGAATACAATCACGGTAGCAGAATATTATGACCCCGAACGAGCACGAGAAAATGAACGACAAATGATGGAGCGCGAGAAATCTGAACGAGAACGAGGAATGCGACAACCTTCAGGAATGGAATACGGGCCGCGACCAACGGAATATTTGAGTACATCAGGATCATCTACTTCCTCTTACCTCGATATCTCTCACCATTTTCCCACAAAAGGCTTTAGTTTCAAGTCTTTCTTCTCGACACCATCCGAAAAGTCTGATTCGAAGAAGAAGAAAGAGAAGAAGAAGAAAAGTAAGAAATTGACGAAACACAATTCCTCATCAAGCTCCTCTTTGAATGAAGATTTAGCTTTTGGAACCGGATTCCTCAGATACCGAAGGAAGAGGAGTGTGAGAGCTAGGGATGGAAGAGACAGGCAATGGGAAACCATAGGATATAAGTCCAGTAAGGAAAACCTGAAAGATACTCGATCTTCCACGAATGATAGACCTACGAGCTCGAAACGACCAGCCACCGATGCTGAAATTTTGGCTTTAGGTGCTGGAATCGCTGGACTTGCCAAACTTGCACTCGATCATGGCAACAAAGACGCCAAGAATGGTAAGAACGGGCGCGGTGTTCCCGAAACCGGTACTTCTAGTCGAAGGGATGAGCGCGGCCTTCCACCTTCCAAGGCTATTCCATACGAAACCGACCCTAATGATGACGAGGGATGGGAATCAGCCTCTGACGACGAGTCAGATTCAAGTGCTGATACTGGTTTGGCGTTCGGAGGTGGTAGTCATGTTGGCAAGAAAAGCCAGGCTAGCTTCTTTGGACGCAAGAAGACCCATGGCCCAAAGAGTCGAAAGAGTAACGTGGTCGATCCAAGACTGCTTGGACCAGAGAATTCCCTCAATGGGTATTTGTCAGATAGGGCTGTGGGCTTTGAAGACGTGCAATGGGAGTCAGGCAGTGACTTTGGTCAACACGCTTACATTCCTTACATTCATCCAGACAGACAGGTGGATACATTGTATGTGCACGAAAGGGTTAGGATAAGCAGGACCCAAAGTGTTGGTAGTGGTTCGCAGACCCCTCTCCAAGAAGTCTTCCCAGTCCCCACCAATGATCCCTCTCGATTCGATGTGGCGCGAGCATCTTCGTCCGAATACAACGCCTCTAGACCTGCACCAGTTCCCATTCAGCAACCCCAACCCATTACTCCGGTTTCTCATAGTGTTTATCACGAGTCAAACTACGTTCGTTCAGAATCTGGCGGGATCTTGAAAAGCTCTTCTGGTAGATCTAAATCTTTAGCTAGCGCGGCCTTAGCTGGCGTAGCTGGAGCTGCTGTTGGAGCTGCATTTGCATCTAGCCGTCGAGATGAAAACGAGAACTATCGTGATGATGATCGAAGAGACAATCGGAGCTATAGTGAAAGCGCTGTTAATCGACGAGATAGCGATCGAAAAGAACGACGCTACGAGGAGGATCAATACTCAATTGCCGATAGCAGCGTCTCCAAACCTCGAGATGAAGATCGAAAAGAGCGCCGTCGTGATTATGACCAATCCTCTATCGCTGATAGTAATCTCACTTGGGATGAAAAACGAGAGAAACGTCGCGAGGAGCGAAGAAAAGATGACTCAAGAAGCTCCACTTCTAATTCTGATCGTGATAAGAATCGAGAAAGGATTCGTGATGATCCCGATGCTGCTGCAGAGGAGCGAGAGAGGAGACGACGAGAGAGACGCGAAGAGCGACGTGCACCCGATCGTATTGAAGACAACTATGAAGAGCGACGGGCCCACGTACTCTCAGAGATATCGGCAATGGCTCGCACACCCACGGATCCATTCCAATATCAGGTTGCAAACACACCACCTCGCGAGGAAAGCTCTAGTCGTCAAGCTAAAGATCAACCTGCACCCAATGTTGTTACTGTCGAACCCGAACCCGATTTTGATCGAAAGCAAAAATCTTCGATTAAAGAACCATCATCTGTTTCCCGCTCCGAACCACGCACTGAAGTTTTCGAAAAAGATGACAAGGAACACCGATATAAGGAACATGCCAGAATCCTTCATGATGCCGAAATGATCTATGAAGAAACCGAACATTCTACAGCTCCGATTGAGGCAGCAGCCATTGCCGCCGCCGCCGCTGCTTTGGCTAGAGAAAGTCGCCGAGAATCGAGATCATCAAAACGACGAGGAGAGAGACGAACTGACTCGGAGGATCTTCCAAAAGACAGTGATTCTACCAAAGCGCCGGAAAAATCGCACGATGAAGTTATGGCAGAGGCGGATCGAGCTTATCGTGAAATTCTCATGGCTAGGAAAGTTGCTGCAGAAGTCCGCCGTTCTCGCACTCCATCACCTGAGCGCTCTGTGATGAACAAATACGAAGAAGAGTCAGAAGAAGAACCACCACGAATTGTCACTCCTCCCGGCATGCATGAACGCAAGAAAGGTCCCTATGATGCACCAAATGCTGATTTCAAGCTTGATTATATCATGACACCTAGAGATCTAAAAGTCTACAGCATTCCAAGCAGGCGATACAAGGTTGATGAAGCTGATTTGAAGGGTCCATTCATGACAAAGGATCCGGATGCTAAACTGCCTCGACCTATCCTAAATTTGATTCGACCCACTCCTACTTCAACACCATCACCCGAGAAACAGTTTGCTGCCATGGCAAAGAATGAAAATGTGAAGAAGGAAAGTTCTAATCGGTCGGATGATCGCCCCGTTGAAAGACGCCGTTCTGAACCTCAACTTGAACCAGAACGACATTCCAAGACCGAGGATAAGAATGGAGAACGTGAGCAACCTGCTATACGATCGCAAGACGAGCCAGCCCAACCCAGAGATAAGATGGAGGATCGTGAACAAACTTCATCATATCGATCACAAGATAGGCCTAGTGAGACAGCACAGATCCGCGAGCAGATTCCATCATACCGATCAAAAGAGGAGTCACATGATCAAGATCGTCCAAAACGTGATAGAAGAGATATTGCTCCCATCATCATCAGTCCAAGAGGAGACCTTATTCGCTCATCTGATGTTTCTGTTCCATCTCCTACTCAGTCCACAGTCTCGAAGGCTGTTACCTGGGGTCCAAACGAGACAAAACACTTCGAAGTCGAAAGTCCCACCGAACCAAAGGATGAGTACATTTCCGATTCATCCCCAGAAACTCCCGAGAAGCCAAGTTTTTCGGAGCCAAGATCGGAGTCACAGATTGAACCAAAATCTCCCGGCGGATGGGCAGCAATGGCAGCAGGAATTATTGGTGCAGGCGTGGGTGCCGCAGTAGCAGGCCCGAGTGAATCTCCTAAACAAGCTGAGCGACCTGAATCTCCTAAGAAACCTGAGCGAGCCGAGTTAAGTGAGCTCGCCAGGATCTTGAAGGCTAGGGATAGTGAACGACCCGAATCCCCTAAACGAGCTGAGATCAGTGAACTTGCTAGAATTTTGAAAGAAAGAGAAAGGGAGCGACCTGAATCCCCTAAAAAACCTGAGCGAGCCGAGGTAAGTGAACTCGCCAGGATCTTGAAAGCCAGGGAAAGTGAGCGACCTGAATCTCCCAAGCGTGCCGAAGTCAGTGAACTTGCCAGAATCTTGAAAGCAAGGGAACAGGAGCGCAACGAAAGGCCTTATGAGTACAGAGGTGTAATGGTAGAACCTGAGAGTCCATACGGAGAACCGAGGCGAGATAGTCCACCTCAAGATATGGGAAGAGACGGTCTGTATCGAGGTGTGATTGTAGAGCCTGAGAGTCCATACGGGGAATTATTTCGAGATGTGGAAAGAGACAGTCTGTATCGAGGCGTGACGGTAGAGCCCGAGAGTCCATACGGAGGAAAGAGAAGTCAAAGTCCACCTCGAGATAACAGGAGGGAAAGTCTATCCCAGCATACGAGAAGAGATAGTCCACCAAGCGTTGGTCCCAAGCCCGTTTCGCCACCAATTACACATATGCCTGGTGCTTTTGACGACGATTTGGATTTCGCTGCAACAGTGGCAGCTGGTTTGCAAGATAGTGGCTTCAACCCTAATATCGTGATTGAGGACCCCACGTTCCGAAAACGTGATTCCCCACCTGGTTCTAATGAATACAAAACACCATGGGCAGAATCCATTGACGACCTCTCAAGCATTCCCGGCGAAAGCTCCTTAAATCGTGGTTTTGTTATGGGCGAGGTGCTAGAAACCCCGAAAGATTGGTCGAGTGTTTCGCCCGCCAATGAAGAATCACCCAATCTTAATAGGAAAGAACAGAAAAGGCTTGAAAAAGAACGGAGACGAAGTGGTGGTGATTTATCATCGCCATTAAATGATGTTATCGTTGAAGAACCTGAAAGCTATTTTGATTCCTCTAGGCAGAATAGAAAGGAACAAAGGAGACGTGATAAGGAGGAAGCAAGAACACAATCACTTCTGAGGGAAGAATCTTCATTTGTTGATATTATGCCAAACCGCGAATTAGTCGAAGAACCGGAAAGTTACATTGAGCCTGTTGACACTCCCAAGAAGTCCAAAAACTCATCTCGATCATCGACGTATGAGGATATCGACCTTGATTCATCTGCTTCAAAACCCAAAAGGAAATCTAGCAAGCGCTCATCAACTTACGATGGCAAAGTCGACTCTCCATTGCGTGAAAGTCGCAGGACCTTCTCCATGGATGACATCAAGAACGGCGACGAATCCAAAATACCTAGAAAGTCGAAGCGCGACAATGTTAGATTTGACTCATCCTCTAATTCAGCCCCACCTCCAGAGGTTGACCCTGAATCTAGCAGATCACTGAGAAGAAAGTCAAAAGAGAAATTGGGAAGCAAGAGTGAACGTTATGATTCTCCTGACCCTTCACAAATCTCATTGCCAGCCTCTGATAATTATGAAGAAATGGAGTTGTCTAGAGAGCCAGACCGACCATCACGTCGAGATGGCGATGATCCATTGTGGGCTTCATCCCGTTCAATCTTATCAGCTGGTAGTAGCTCAAAGGTGGATGAAGAGGATTCGCCACAAAAGAACCGAAAAGATCGCAGCAACACCAAAGAAAACAATGATGCTACACGACCAATTGCTTCGGAACCTACTCGTGATGATAATGAAGATTCAAAGAAGAAGACAAAGGAGACAACGCCGAAGAAGAGTGGTGGACTGTTCGGTTTCTTTAGCGGTGCCAAGGCAGAAGCAGCAAAGGAGGAATTAACGAAAGGAAGTCGTGATGATCCTGACGATGTCAAGAAGAAAAAGAAAAAACGGAGTTCAACGTCAGATGGGATAACTGAGGGTCAATCTTTCAGTGATTCTCAGCTGGTTTCAAGTGAAACTAATGGCCACAAGACACGAGGTGAGGATAGTGTGCAAGATTCTAGGAATGATGGAGAGAGGAAGAGGAGTAAAAGTTCAGATTCGAAGAAGGGTTCTTTTTTAGATAATGCCGGCATCCTTGGCGCGGGTGCCGGCCTTGCTGCTGGTGCAATTGCAATTTCTGCTCAGCACCAACAGCAACATGCCGCTAATAATAATGATAGCGAGGGAAGTACGGGGGAAATGGGAAAGCAGGAAACAGAAGAAGATATATTGGATCCAGAGATTATCGAACGACAAATCAGACCCTCAATTGACCCTCAATATGGAGATCTTTTACCATTGCCGCCAAGTGGTTCAGTTTCACCTAATTGTGAACCAATTGATGACCTGCCCAAACTTCCAGAAAGTCGACCTACAACACCTGAATCTGAAAAACGGACTGTAAGTACGCCAAGGGAGAAGACTCCGCGAAATCGTAAGAGTTTGCAGGAGACTCCTGTAAAATCTCCAAGCCAAAGTGCCGTGCCATTAAAATTCGTCATGGGAAACCGATCCAATCCGGCCTCACCTATTATAACGAGATCTACTGGTAATACGCCCTTTCCTACTTTCCATCCCTCTCCAATTGCAGAATCAGCCACAATTCCAAGATCTAGATCAAGACCTATGTCATGGGATAATACCAAGGAATTCAAGCCCCTGTATCTATTAGAGACTAACAGACGTGGGTCGTTCGTGCCAGAAGAGTTAATTGACCCGCTCCCACATTTACCGCCGTCCCGAACCAATTCAGAACTTGACGTGGCGGATCTACCCGAATCGGGCTTTTTGGAAAAATTGGACCTTCACCGCCCTTCACGAGACCCACTTTCAACCAACCTCCCCTCCGATGATCACACCTCCGGAGAATCCACACCGACTGCGAGTACTTTTAAAAGGGATTTAGCGCCATCAGTGGAGTTTCTTCAAGATTCTTTCCCCTCACTGGAAGAAAAACAAACTTTATCCTCTGATGCAATTCATGAGCAATCTTCATCTGAATCAGCAGCTAAAGCCATTGGAGCCGCAGGAATTGCAACTGCAGCCGGCCTTGCTATTGCATCTAATGATACAAGCGATGAACAGGAACCAAGGTCTTCTCAAGAGATCCAAGAAAAGAGTGAAAACGACGATTTAGAATATTCATCTGAGTCACATGACATACCCTCCGAACGGAAGGAGACATTGCAAACCCTAAGTGGAACTTCGAGCAATCAAACAATGAGTATCGAAGAGGAGGTCGAACAGACCGAAGAATTTCCTTTGTCAGATTTCAAGAAAATTGAGCGCAAAAATTTGACGCTTGAATCAGATGACATTCATGATCAAGCCGAGAATACTCCGGAGCCTATTCATGAACTCTCCAATCCAGTTGAGGACGAACATGTCGAGTCTGTAGATAACTTATCTACTCCAGAGTCTAAGAACAATCAGGGTAAGAATGAGAGAGCTATATTATCTCCGGAGTCGGAAGTGGAACTCCAAAGCGAATTTCCTGGTCAAGAGGACACACAAGGACCAAAATCCGACCATGCTTCAAGTGAAACACATGGCTTGACCGGACCGGCTAAACATCTTATCGAACAAGCAGCTACCCCCGAGGCTCAACTCGTTGAATATCCTACTCAGAACTCCGAAGAGGAGAAAACACACGAGAAAGCAGACAAAAATGTTCTATCCTTCGAGCCCGAACTGGAGACAAACAATGTGGACAGTGTAGAGCCGTTCAAACCTTTGGATGAACACACTTCAATTGACAAGCTGGTTGATGAACCGCAACAGCAAGTGCAGGAATCTGGCCAAATTGAAGAAGCTTTGCCTTCAGCTGAGATTAACCCGATCGAGGAACCCTCTGTTCCCAAGTCCAAGAGGGACAGGAAGAAGGACAAGAAGAAGGCAAAAGCTGATGCTCTTAGACTGGAAGAACTCATCACTGAACCAATTGTTGAACCTATGATTGAAGTCCCAATACAAGAACCATCACTCGAGGTATCGTCAGAGCTTTCCCGCGAGGTTTCCCAGCCATCTTCTCCTCTAGCCAGCCCCGAGGCACAAGCATTCAATGATTCTGTACTGTCGGAGAATTCTGGTGATATCACGCCCACAGTTTCCGAGTTTTCTAGCCCGAACTCGAAAAGAGATAGGAAGAAGTCGAAAAAATCTAAATCGATTCCTCTTGACCCACAACCGGAACAAGCTGTGGTACAGCCCGAGCTCAATGAGCCTGAAATATCTCAATCTGAAGATGTCACGAGGAATCCTCTAGATTTGTCTCAAGAATTAATTCAAGAACCCATTCAAGAAGAACCTAGTACGCCTGTCAATGTTGAGCCAATTGAAGAGTTTTCAACCCCAAAATCCAAGAAAAGTAAGAAGGACATGAGAAAGGCAAAGAAGGAACAACTTGCGAATGTCCAGCAGGACCCAATTGATGTCACACAGGAGCAGGAGCAAGTACCTGAATTGCAAGAAAAGGAACTACCAGAAGCTCTTATCTTGAAAGCGACGCCGAACTTCGATGACATTACTCAGGCGATCACCTCTCCTTCTTCGAAGAAGAATAGAAAGAGGAGCAAAAAGGGTAAGACTGCGGACATAGAGGAACCCATGGAGACGTCAATTTCTAGTCCTGTTCCAGAGGGTGTGTCAGAGAAACCAACACCAATGATTGGACATGGTGGGTGGCCAATCACTCCCGCTACCCCATGGACTACCGGTGCACAAGGGACCTCTACATCAAATGAAAAGGACTACTTTCCAGCTGCAGAAACAATACTACCAACTATCAGTGCCGAAGATACTGTACTTGGTGCAGAACAATTGAAGTCCGATGACGTTTCTCAAGATAAGAATGGGTCTGATAGCCCTCCTACTGGACATGAAGACAATCAACTCGGCCTTGCAAACCAATCACTAGAGGAACCAAAGCCACAAGAAATCGTGATTGAGGATGTTTCTAAAGAGCTTGTAGGGAACGTCACTGAATCCAATGGACTTCCGGCCGGTTCTCAAGAAGATGAATCATCTCTCCCTCGCCAATTACCTACTGAGATCGAAGGGAACATCCAAGAGAATCATCCACCGCAAGAAGAACGGGATCAAATTTCTGCAATCGAGACTCAAGAGGAGAAGCCAATTTCCAATGAGACTGAAGCTCCGGATGGATTTGAAGCTGGATATGAAGATGACCAACAAGCGCTTTCTAAGGGTTTGAAGGAGGAACTCGAATCTAGTAGTGCCAAGGACGAGAGGGACGAGGAAAGTGGAAAGCACGCCAATCAAGATCAAATCGAAGGGGTTGCTTTTGATATTGCTTCCTCAGACAATGCTACTAAGGATTTGAACAAGCCAGCAAGTATCCCTACCTCTCAGGCGGAGGGCATCGAGAATCCAACGATCAAAGCTGTACTTGAAGAACCAGAGGAGATTGCCCAAGCTGATAAGAAGCCACAAATGCCCGAGGACAGTGTCCCTGACGAGAACGCTATCAAGGAACAGACTCCTTTGGAAGAGAACTCCACAATCGTACAAGAGCCAGAGACTATCGAGAATACGCATATCGACCAGGGTTTCCCAAACCCAGCAATGACCGAAAAGACACCCATCGATCCGATCATTTCAGCACCAGAAACCAAGGTAGAGACCCAAAGCAACGAGTCAAAGAAACAGGAGAACGACGATAGCTTGCTTGCATCTAATCCTTCCAAAGACATCATGACACCCGACATTTCAGAAGAAAAGACGCCCGTAGATGCCTCTCCGGAGCAACTCGAGCCTGAGCATTTGCAAAGTCCCGATGAAGCTTCTATTGCCATTGACCCTCAACCGGCATCTGCTACTCTTGACAAGAGCCAAGACAACGTGATTGAACCGGCACCCATTGAGGAAGCTCCCGTTTCCGACAATGTGGATCAAGCCAACATTGAGGAAGACAAGACACGAGGAGAAGAATCTGCTGACGTCAAGCAAGAATTTTCGGAAACACCTCTGGAGCCTTCCACTGTAAACCGTGAAATCGAATTTTCTGCACCTCCTAAGAAGTCTGAGAAAGATAAAAACAAGCGTGGCAAGCAAGCACAGAATTCGATTGAAGACGAGACCGTGGCCAAGGACATCAAACCCACTAGCGAGTCGTCCAATGTTGGAATGCCAGTTGAACAGCCAAATACTATGCCTGTGGAACAAATTATTACTATCCCCGCGAAAGAGCCAACTCCTAACGATGCACCAATGACAGCAGGACTTTCTGGCCTTATGGGTCCTTTGACAGGAAGAAAAAAGGGTGTTTTGGAAATGGTTCAAGCTTTGGGATGGGGTAAAAAGAAGGACAAGGCCGCAATTGCCGCTGCTGAGCAAGGACTCCCTCCAAGACCATCTACAGCACGCGCTGCATCCGAATCTTTTATGTCTACACCACGCGTTGTGTCTGAGTCCGCCATGCCAAAGGTCATCGAGACTGAACCTGTTAAAGCACCGTCACCTACTACGGAACTTGAGGAATGGGCTGTGGCAGACGAAAACTCGAAGACAAATTCGAAGCAGGGCGAGAAGGTCGCAAGCGAAGATATTGAGTCAGTGACAAGTACAATCATCGAAGAAGAAGCTTTACCCATTGAGCCCAAGGAAGAAATTGCCCAACAAATCATGGAGCCATCAGTCACGAAATCGACAGAGGATGTACAAGATGACCAATCATCTAAAAGACAAAAGGGCAAAAAACGGCTCAGCTTACAATCATTCATATCCGAAGAGGCCTCCAAAGCATTCAGAGCTAGAGAATCCGCTAATCAAGGACCAGAAACTCCGTCCTTGATGGCAGATCCAGCTTTCATCGAACAATCTCATGAACTCACTTCCAAGCCAGTTGTCGATACACCGGTTCAAGAAACGCAAAATCTTAAATCTTTGATTAAGTTCCCGACCGATAAATCAAAGGATGATAAGAAGGAACGTCAAAGTCTGCAATCCCCAGTGTCGGAAGAAATGCCCAAGGAAGAGGCAGATGTGTCAAGAGACAATGTTATTGACAACGAGCCCCAGCTTCAAGCGCCGGAAATCAATGAGCCATCTGTTGAAAGCAGTAACGAGCTTTCCGGACTTCAACGTGAACTTACCTTGGAAGAGCGCCAAGCTCCCGAAGTGTCAAATGAAGATGCCCCTGAACCAGTGGTCGAAATCCCTAGACAGCCTGAGGAACTTGATCGTGAGGCTATTCAGGAGGAGCTTTTTACTTCACCACCACAGCCTGAGCACATTCCTGAGCCAATTGTTGAGAATCCTAGCAAATCTTCAGAATCCCCTCGCACGATTGACCAAGAGAGTATTTTCGTTCCAGAACCCCTTTCGGAGGACACTCCGGAGCAAGCAACTCTTGAAAGATCAAACGAGCCCTTGGATGTTCCTCGCGAGGTTATTCAGGATGATGATAATGCACCACAAGCATCACTTGACCTTGTTGCCGAGCCAAGCGCGATTGATAATGAGGCTTCTTCACCAAATGAATCCACTCTCGAGGATGCCACGAAGAACGTCGATATTTCTGAACCAAGCTTGGTTGATGAATCTTTCTTGCCAAATGAATCGATCCAAGATGATATCATGTCATCTATCGAGTATGTTGAACCAGATACAAGTCTTCAAGAGTCTAAGTTGTCAGTTGAACCTGTTTCTGAAGAGCTGGACAATGCTTTTGAAGTTCACAAGCTAGACACTGTTGATGAGCTTGCTTTGCCAAGTCACATTGCCCTAGAGGAAGATTCAAAAGAGGTAGAAGTTGCTGAGCCAAGTCATAACAACGATCAGTCTTTTTTACCACAAGAGCCACCTCGCGAGGAAATAAACAAGGATGCCGACGGGTCTTTGATGGATCAAGTTATTCCACGGGAGGGGCCAGGAAATGGGGAAATTTCTGAGCCAAGCCATACTGATGAAGAGACTCTCTTATGTACTGAACCTGCTGCAAAAGTTGAAACAGCTCAAGCGCAAAGCGAAATTGATCCTGCTGAGGAAACGGAAGTCCAAGATGAATCGACATTACCCGGCACTAAGAAGTCCAAAAAAAGCAAGAAAAACAAGAAGAGTAAGAACAAATCCCAGTCAGAGCCTGAGGTGCCAATCGAAGTCACCAAAGAGCCTGAAAAAACTCTTCTTGTGGAGCAACAAATCGTAGAAAAGCCATTCGATACCACAGAACCAATTCGTGGAGCCTTTGAGCAGCCACTCGAAAGATCGGTTGAGACCATCGAGCCAGAAAGTCGTGATTTCTTAGAACCTGCTTCTGTGCCACTTCCGGAAGATGATATCATTGAGGCCATCGAACTTGATGAACCCACAAGCTTCGAGACTCTACAGCCATCTCCTAACCCCAGTCCATCAATCCCAATTACTAAGGAAACCATTATCAGTCCAAAGATCGAGGAGCCCAAAGGTCTTGAGAACTTAGATTATTCTGAGCATGCAGCATTGATCCCACTGCCAGAGGACATCGAGCATCAAGGTCCTGAATCTGTAGAAGCACTTGAACCAGTTCCAGATGCTGTGGAGAACATGATTGAAACTCCTTCCGACATTGAGATTCCCGCAAGCAAAGAAACATTGGAATTTCCGGAACCGATTTCTCCCATTCTAGAAAATTCTTCCCCAGAACCTGCTCCAGTTTCACCAAAGGGATCTAGAAAAGATAGGAAAAAGCGCAAGTCTACTACATCAACGCCATTGGCCGAAGAGTCTCTATCTTCAGACCTGCTCCTTGAAAACGACGCCAAAGCTGTCGAGCTGACATCGGAAGAAGCACGACTGATCGTTCCGGACCCTCCAATTGCTGGATCTCCAGAGGAAGTGATATTCAACAAGCCACAAGAAGCCAAGTTTCTTTCAGAATTGAACAATCCAGAGACGGAACAGAAGGGCATCGAACCGATGGAGGCCATTACAACTTTAAGTGCCTCCGATGAGATTGAACACGTTTTTCAAGAGAAAAATGTCGAGCCACCCGCTGAAGTTTCAACCGAGGAATCCAAGAAAGACAAGGAAGAGCAAAAGTCTGAAGTACCTATTCTAGAATCTGAAGATATTACTGCCCAAGCCCCACTGGAACCTTTACCAATCCAGCCGGACGTCGATTTATCAAACCAAGAAACCGTTCCGAACTCTATCGGGTCAATTCCAGAGAGCGTGCAAACGGCCAACGAGAATATATCGATTCCCACTCTGACCGATGTTGAGGTTAAGCAAGACGATAGTCCCAAGTCAGATTTGGATGTCCCTCTTGAACAACAGGACCTTGAATCTGTATCCAAAGATATCGTGGACTTGACAAAATCAAACTCTTCAAATGCTCCAGTCAAAGAATTCAAAGAGGACGAAGAGGAGCGCAAATTCCTTGACACCAATTCAACACTTGAGCTTCTCATGGACAGCAAGTCAGAAATGACCGAACTTTCCCAGCCAATCAATCAAGCTTCAGAAGAGGAACTTTATAGCAAAGAACCTGCGGAGACTTTCAGAGAGACCGTTCAGCAACCAATAGCACTTCAAAAACATGCCTTTGAGCAGGAACAAACAGAGGAAGGTCCCGAGGTATCTGTGGGGCCAATAATCGACTCAATTGTGTCTGAACCACCGACAAAAATTTCTCATGGACCAACTGTCGAGTCTGAAAATGTCAAGGAAGATGACCTTACACCACAGGAATCGGTTGTACAACAAGAATCGTCAAATGAATCAAAAAGCATCGAGGAGCCATCCTTATCATCGCATCAAATCGTTGAGCCGGAAAGTGTAAATAAGGGATTTTTCCTACCGCAAGATTCAATGATCAATTTAATCATTGATGACGAGGAGGCACCTCAATCACAGGAAAGATTTGTTGAGCCAGAGATCAGAAAAGAAGAAAGCTTTGTACCGCAACAATCAACAATTGAACAACGGATCAGTGAAGAGCGAACCCCTCAGCAAGAGCTAGAAACTGTGCCAGAAACTTTCAATCCCGAATCAAGTCTTGTACAAGACTCGGTCGTTGAGCCAATATCAGAGGAAGAGCAAATTGTTGTCGAAAAACCAGTCATCGAGCTCAACATTCCTGAACCATCACAAATTGCTTTGCCAGAATCACCAATTGAGCAAACGTCATCCGAGCCAGAATTGTCTCTTCCACAAGAGCCTCTAACTGAGCCAGAGGTCATCGAAGAAGCACCTTTTGTTCAAGATCGTGCAACTGATTCTCGAGGCCCGAATATCAAGCTAGTCATTCCACAAGAATCGTCCCTGGAGCAAAAGGTTGTTGAGCCTGCACAAATTTCTTTGCCGAAATCACCAATCGAGCGGGAAGTATCTGAACTAGGAATTGCATCTCAACAGGAGCTCGTTTCTGAAAATCATATTGCTGAAGAACCAATTCTTGCACAAGAGCACCATTTCGAACAAGAAAGCTCACGTGCCAAATTAGTTACCCATTCAGAATGGCCTCTTGAACAAAAGACTGTCGAGCCAGAACAAATTGCCTTGCCAGAATCGCCGATTGAACTGGAATCATTTGAACCAGAAGCACTTTTTCGACAAGAGCCTATAGTTGAGTCACAAGATCGTCTATTACCAATTGACCAATCACTTCGTCAGCCTTTAGAGTTCAACACTAGAGAGCCTATTTCCGAGTCAAACCACATGGATGATATGTCAATTTCACAAGAATCATCGGTTGAGCCAACGAAGTTAGAATCAGATATGTCACTCTCGGATCTTGTACCTGAAGAATCAGCGAGAAATCTCGAACCTGTTTTCCCCAATGAATCTGGAAAAGACAAGGAGGAAAGAGAACAGAACTTGGTCTTTTCGGAACCCTCCGGAGATCCAAGCAATGTTACTTTTGCTTCTCAGGTACCAGAAAATCAAGCGCTAGAAACCGACTCCGAGTCAACACCATCTGATTCTGACATTAAACCTGTATCAAGCTCGCCAGATATCGTTTCCGAAAATGTTGAGCCAATTGCAAATGTGGAGCAAATCAAACTTGATCTTGTTGAATCTACATTGAATACAGAACCAATCGCCAATGAACAAGCTATCGATTCTGCTCTTGAGACGACATCATTCAACTCAATCCCTGAGGACCCTGTACATGATCAGCCTCTTATCGAAAGTCTGCCTGCTGAGACTGGATCAATACAAAGAGACGAATGGGCCCGGCCGATTAAGGAGTCAAAGAACGTGGAAGAGAAGGGTGATGATATCCTCCAACCAATGAAAGAGCTATCTGATGTTGCACCTCAAGCCCCAGGAAGCACAAGTACGCCGCTTGAGATCGCAGATATTCCGTCCATGGAAGACGATGCAAAAGAACTAGCAAACGGGAATGTAACTGAGACCGATGAAGATTCGTTCTCGGATGCTGTTGAATCTTTTTCTATAGAAGATACTGCGATGAATTCAACCCCTTGGGCCTCACGAGAGCCTGTTGAGGCTATTGAGCCCGAGTTTGAAGTACTTACTCAAAAGCCAGCAGAACAGTCCATTCCGGAAGTTATCAGGCCACTTCACGAAGATGATTTCATTCCAACCCCAATGTCTGAGACCGTACAACAAAATGATGATGCGTTCCCTAATTTCGAAGAGATTACACTGGATGAACACAAATCAACTCCAGTCGATGAGCTATCAAAAATTGATTTGCCAAGAGAGATGCTAAATGAGGAGCACCCAAAGGAAGAGCACAGACCAGCAGATGATGATGTCACTGAGGTCTTGACCAAGAATTCCAAGGATATAAATGATCGTGAGTTTGGATTTTCTTCACCGGTACAGTTTATCCCCAAAGACACCCAAATAGGAGTACCGGATTTTGTGGAGCCAGTACCTACAGAGATAACACTCGATGACTTCAAGGCCATTCCCACTGGAGAGATGCCAAAGGAAGTTCAACAACAAACCGAGGACGAATGGGGTTCGATTTCTATCAAGAAATCGACAAAGGGCAAGGAGACACTTGAATCTACCTTGTCTACCCCATTGGAGCCCGAGGTTCCCAATGTTGCTACTGAGCTTCCTGAGGATATTCCACCAAATTCTGGAAAGCTTGAAGAGCTACTTGCAACTATTGAGGACGTACCTGATACTCATACATCTTTCCAGATTCCACAGGTTGATAAAATTGTTTCCGAGCATGATACTTCTGACATGTCACACGATAAGAACGATGAAAAGGGCAAGGGAATTTCGAGCAAAGAAGTCGACCTAGAGCTAGAAATCCTAGCCTTGGCTAATACCGTCGCGGTATCCGATATACAAGATGTCAAGCCCGGCGAGCGTCTCCTGACTTCTCCTATTCCAATACGAAATACCGTTCCAACACCGATTCTAACTGCAGAACCAGATATGATTTCGCCTCCTCCATCCTCTTCATTCAAGCCGCTTATCGATGAGTCAAACAATCTCTCCACTGCATTAGTACAAGCTACTTCCAAAAAAGACAAGAGAAAACGACAAGCAACAATAAACCTTGAAACACCCAAAGATGATCAACGAACGTTTTGGGCAGGTGAAGTTCCCGAAGCAGAAGTTATCAGGGCTGTACCAGTCATTGAAGATATTGGCCGGGATGAATTCTATTCTCATATTGCCAGCACGGTCAAAGAATCAGAAGCGAACGAATTTTCTAGACCACCCGCCAAGAAAGGAAAGAAGAATACGAGAAGAGAATCAACCAATATCAAAGACTTCCAATCATCAATGGGAAAAAATGAACCAATGAAGGAGCGCAAAGAGATGCCATCTGTAGTAGCCGCAACTGTAGCAATTGTTAGTGCAACACTTTTGGCTAGCAAGAGCAAGGAATCGGAAGTTAAAGCTATTGAGGAAGAAGGAAGCCCCATGATTGACAAGTTATCTGAGAAGGAAGAGCATGAATCAAGTATGGACAAGATAGCACCATGTGATGACGTATCTGATGATTCTGTACCATGGGAAGAAAAGGATTTAAAAGTGTTTGACGAGGTGGAGCATGAAGCTGGAGAGACGAAGAATGATGGATATGACAGTGGTGGGTTTCGAGAGAGAAATATGATTGTACAAGAACCAGGGCGGATAGAGAACATTCAGGATCCGATGTTTGAGGCGTTTGACAAAGATGCTGCTGCAGAACCTCAAGAGCTTACAACTCCTAGACCTCTTAGTCCTGTTCTCGATGTTACCAGGTTTACTCAAGAGCCGGAGCAGATAGAGCCGATGAAGCAAAAAGAAGTCACCGAAACATCCGAGTCAGATAAGATGACACGTTCTACTTTGCATGAGCCAGAGAAGACGAGCACCAATCAAGAGCCAATAGAACAGATTTCCACTGAGCATATGGGAAATGAAAACACCATTTTGCAAGGGCCAGAGCAAATGGAGGCCGTCCAAGAACCATCGACGCAAGTTCCTGCTGAGCCTACGATTATAGAACGCCAAATCGTACAAGAGTCCGAACAGATTGAAACCGCTCAAGAATCAATGGTGCAGATTCCTACCAAACCTTTGATAATGGAAGGTCGTGAAAGTACAACACCGACGCCACGCCATTTTGATCCCAATGACGACAAAACTCAAGAAATGGCACTAGCTGCCCAGACCTATGCTTCGAGCAGTTCTCCAAGCCCGAGACGATCACCAACTGCACGAGAACCAAGAGGAGATCTGCCAGAAGAGTACCTCTCTAGACGATCGAGAAGAGATATCGAGAAAAAGAGAAGGAAGAAGTCAATCGAAGTTGACGATACCCTAGATCTTTTACCGGCACCAATCCAAGAAGCCTTGCGGAATACTATTGTTCAGCCCCGAGCTAGAGAAATCAGTCCTTCGCCAATCTCCTCTCCGATAGCCGAACGAGCCAAACGAGCTAGATCAAGATCGCGTCCTCCATCTCGTCCTGGAACACCTGGCTTGACAATGCTACGAGAAGAATCAGAGGATGAGAATGCTCTCAATGTGGGAAACAGAGACAGTGCTATTATCAGCGAATCTCCGATTCCCCCTCAAGGAAGCTTCGCAGACAAAAATGAAGACATTCGTGATAGTGGCATTCACTTGAGAGATAATTCGCCTTCTATGCGTGTTAGAGCTCCCGTCTCTTCAACCGATGCAGCCATCGAAAGTATGGCGTGGCCTTCCGTGGATGAAGATGCTGGGACGGTTGATCTCGAACAGCCGCAACGACCAAAAGTTGTAGAGGACTTAACACATCACGGCCGCGAAATTGATGATCTGCCATCTCAGAGACACAAAGAAGAGAGGCACACAGATCTACATAGAACGCAGGCAATTCACAGAGCACTATCGCCCCTTGAAGAAAAGCATAAACTTACTCGCAAGACTTCTTTGAGTCGTGGGGAACTAGCAGAAGCGAATCATGTAGACTTTGTCCGATCCCAACGACTTAAGGCATTTCAAACTAAATCCAAGGAAAGGTTATCTGAGCCTCTTCGAGCAGAAGCAACTAACAACCCAGTGACCCCAGAAAAAGAACATAGAAGGCATCGTGTCCACCGTTCTGAATTTCCTGACCTCCAGCACCGCAAACCAAAGGAAAACAAATATGGGGACCTTGAACCAGTTAAAACTCCAAAAACTCCTAGAGCTGAGCAGCGAAGTGTTTCCGAGAGTTCTCCATCTTTAATCGGAAGTGCAGCTCTTGCTGCAGCCGGATCTGGATTTGCAGCAGCAAGGAAGCTAAGTCAAGAAAGCCGACCTTTAAGTGCTCAAAGTCACAAAAGTCAGAGATCTGCTTCAAATATCAGTGTTACTCGATTGCGAACGCCCGTTCCATTAGATGCGCCTCCCGCGCCACAGTTCCCCAATGGCGCTAAGACCAATCGTTCGTTTACACCGCCACTTCGCCGTAGCGCCCGGAAAATTAGCGGGGATCCAAGATCGCTCCGTCAACAAAGTAATATTGATCTCGCTAAGGAAATTGATCCAGCCTCCATCAATACCGCTACATCGACAACCTTAACAAATACTGCAAATCCAACTGCAAATGAGGGCCGAGCCAGGGCGCAAGATATGGCCGATGTCTACGTAAGTTGGCACAAATCTGAAGACGAAAATTTTTCACCGCTAATAAAAAAATGTAGGATGGCTATGGTGAAGGCCACATGGGCTCACCACGATCCCCAACTCGACCTCACAGTATGCGACGACGACAAAGTATGCAAGTTTTGGAACTCGAATCAAAACTGGATCAACTAACTGCGGAAAATCGCGCTCTCGCCGAATCTAAAGCTCATGCCGAACATATGCTCCGATCAAGTCAAGGCGCACCTGCGGCCTTGGTAGAGAGGGATGCGCAAATCGATCTACTCAAACGAACACTGTCATCGATGCAAGATGAGGTTAAAAGATTGACAGAAGTGAATGCGGGTCTTTCTAGCGCGGCTGTTACACTAGGTCAACAACATAATGCACGATATGGCACACTCGAATCACAACATGCACAAACTTCACGCGAACTCCAGCAGGCCCGCGAGGCTCATCACAACCTGCAAAACGAAGTACAAGGTGTCATACACAATGCTATACAAGAAAGAGACCAGGAAATTGCATCATTACGATCTCAATTGGATGTGGCCAAGGAACAAATTCGGGCAATGCAGAGGGAAATTCTAGCTGCCAAAGCTGGTGATGCTCAATTCCTGATCATCCGAGATGAGGACTATTTCGATAATGCCTGCCAACAACTCTGCCAACATGTGCAGCAATGGGTACTTAGATTCTCGAAGTTTTCTGACATGAGGGCCTGTAGACTCACGAGCGAAATCAATAACGATAAAACCATTGATCGGCTCGATAACGCCATTTTAGATGGCTCGGATGTGGATAGTTATCTTGCAGATAGAGTGAGGAGACGAGATGTCTTCATGTCAATGACAACGACCATGGTGTGGGAATTCATATTCACTCGCTACTTATTTGGCATGGATCGAGAACAAAGACAAAAGCTCAAGTCATTGGAGAAGATATTGTCTGAAGTTGGACCGCCATCGGCAGTTCATCAATGGCGTGCTACGACTTTGACCTTGTTATCCAAACGAGAGTCATTCGCCAGACAGAAAGAACAGGACACTCTGGCTGTGGTGCATGCTGTTTTAGAGACCCTAACGGAGATCTTACCTCCACCTAGTCACCTTGAAGGTCAAATCGAGGAACAACTCAAACGCGTTATAAAAGCTGCTGTTGATCTCTCTATAGAAATGCGCACTCAACGCGCAGAATACATGATGCTACCACCACTTCAACCCGAATATGATGCCAATGGCGATCTCGCAAGCAAAGTCTCCTTCAACGCTGCACTCATGAATGAACGCAGTGGGGATACCATTTCTAATGAAGAACTCGAGGCACAAAGAGCTGTCGTCAGAGTTGTACTCTTTCCACTTGTGGTGAAGAAAGGTGATGATTTAGGACAAGGCGATGAGGAAATCGTGGTTTGTCCTGCTCAGGTTTTGGTTGCCAAACCCAGAATGGGCAAGGGGCCAGTGGGAAGGGTTTACAGTCCGGCTAGTGGAGTGGACATGGACAGGAGAAGTGATAGGAGCCGAACTCCTGCTAGTTTGCAGAGTAGTATGCCCGATAATAATGTTATCTGAAAATTAAATAAAAAGAGATGAAAAGGAATGATGGATGAAGAAATGAATGGAAGGGGATACGGGTTGGATAGGATGGGAGTGGTGATGAGTTAATTGATACCCTTTGGGGTTATTGGTGATGGCTGGTTGGATTATGTGCTTTTAGGTTCTCTTTCCCTTTTTTTTTTTCTTTTTACCTTCGACGATTTCCCGATTCATTTTAATGATGATTAATGATGCTTTGCATTTAGCGAACTCATAGCTACGGCTATGGATTATTTCTTTCACATTTCAGGCAAAAAAGATATCCATATTTTAACGACGATCACGACCAGATTGTAGTATAGACGAGTTTAATTCACTCCGCTTAGTTTATGAATTTAAATGCCAAAGCACTTCATTTTGATTCGGTTCTAATCTTGATTGTGGCTCTTCTCAATTGCAGGTGAACCATAAATAATTGCAATCACAAACTTCGACGAACTCTCACTGCTAGTGAATCATTATTCTACAGCGCCAGCTACCTTCTCTCATGCATACATGCATAAATGCACATCCTATTGGATATTCCCATGCTGCTCAAAATTTGAGTGATTTTATATTGTTGGTTCCAACGAAGGATTAGATATCAAATTGTGGAAACACACATTTGTCACATCTTGTAGCTCCCGGACATGACACCCCGCCACCGTTTTATCCCTGCCAATGGTCAACCAAAACCTCTTGCAAAGAAGAAAGAATTCACTCATGTCCTTTTTGATCTTTAACGGCATGTACCTGTCTTATTCTGTGAAATGCGGCCTACAGATGCGTCTGTAAGGAATGATCTCTTACTGTCGTCATAAAGATACATTGAGCTGTCATGCCATAAAAATGGCTTTAATGGGTGGTGTGCCAGTACTTTTCTATGAAGGGCGCGACTCACAACGTCGAGGTTCTCTTGCGTAATGTCATTGCACAAGTGTGTATCCCCTTGGGACTCTAACTCTTCAAACTTTCTACTTGGTGTTGTCATTGCATGATGTCAACTTTTTCGTCGACAGCTAAAGTAGTGATCATAATACATTGCTTTCCCTAAGATAGCATATCCAATTAGAGCGACCAAAGGAACATCAATATGAATTCCCTCATATATTTCTGTTGCGCATATGATAAGATTAAAGCATTGTTTGTTAGTGACAGGTAGGGTCGATCAAAAATGCGGCCTGTTCTTTACTACAATGTGATAGAAGATATAACAATATTAGTGTTGGTATCACCATGGGGATGGTGAAGTCAATATAGTATTATGGTTTATATTGTTATTATATTATTTAAGATTTTAAAAGCTAGGATTATGAAATGTATTGTTGTAGTATTGGAAAATGTTAGTATTAATATTAATATAATTATATAATCCCTGTTCTAATACTGACAATTCTTTAAAGTTGTTGAATTATATTTTTCTAGTTAATACCTTTTTTGCCTGTGTAACCACTCGTCCTTTTAGTTTTTTTCAATTTATTTTATAATCTTAATCTTTATAGCATTATTATTAATCAAGTTTTTTAAGGTTTGATATAGTTTAGATTTAGTTATTATATTTATAAGATTAGAATTTTCATTAATCTATTTGATCTTTATAATCTTTTGCTTTTTATATACCTTTTGAATTATTATTATATTAATTATTAATCTTTTTTTATTAATAATTTTGAATTTTGTAAGATAATTATAAAATGATTTGGAGTTGATGTATATGATTAGTGGGATCTTATAATTCGAGAAGATCTTATTAATTATATTTTTGATTGTTATACTAATATTAAAGTCTAAAATTATAATGTAGAGTTCTAATACTAATACATTTCTAATAACGTAGTTTATTAGTACATACATCATATCAATACGTGCACCACTTTTACCTCAATTTATACTCTTCAATCTCAACATGCAATTTATTAATCATTTATTATGTAATCGAATAATAAAGAAGGGAGAATACTCTTATTTATTAAAGCTATCGAAAAAGATAAAAAACTTTTAATTCAAAAGACTACTAAGCTATATAATATTATATATAACTTATAATACTTATTTAAAGAATGAATAGAATAATTTTTATAATTAAATTTCAATTATAAAATCTAAAATTTATTAAAGTAAAAGAGCAAGTAATTATTTTATATATTCTTGATATAAATTCGAAAGGTTTTCCTTTTAAATTTAAAGGGGTAAAAGATATAGTAAATCATATTCTTAAATTGAAAAAAAAAGCTATTAAAAAGCTTTAAGCATATTAATTTGTAAAACAATATAAAGAATTAAAATTATATTTTAATTATATTTATAACTTTCAAAAAAATTTCTATAAAAATCCTAAACTTCTTAAAAAATGATTTCGATTAATTATAAATATATAAACGAAATATAACATTTTGAATAAAGATTTCTATAATTTTGATGAAACAGGCTTTATAATAGGAATTATATATATAATAATAGTTATTATTAGTGCTAAGAAATGTAGCAGAAGTAAATCAGTATAGCTAGGCAATCGAGAATAGGCTATAGCAATAATATACAGGAATAAAGAGGATAAAACTATTTCCTCATTTCTAATAGTTTAAGGATAGGTTAATTTCTTCAATTAATATATCAAAACCGATCTTTCTGTGAACTAGATTATTAAATCTATATCTAATAAATAAACAAATAATGAAATGGGTTTAGAATAATTGAAATATTTTAATAAGTATACTAAAAATTAAAAAAAGAACAAATATTGAATATTAATACTAAATAAATATAAAAGCCACGAATCAATAGCTTTTTAAGTATACTATAAAGAGAATAATATTATATATTTATATTTATTATTGTATTCAAATTATTTAACTTAATTATTTAATATTAACTATTTTAGCAATCTAAAATATTTATATAATAATCAAATTGATGGATTTATTAAGGCATATATCAATTATATTTCAAAAATTGAATTCTTTATAGCTTTTAAAGTTATATATAAGGAATTAATTATTTTTTAGAATATGAAATCAAAATTCTAAAAAATAGATTTAATCCTATTTAATCCTAAAACTATATTCTCGAAATTAGATATTCGAATTCGTATACCTACCCTTTTCTTTTTCGATTTAGATTAATGAATCTCTTAAACCCCTTATAATCTAATTAAAGCTTTTTCTCAATTAATATTAATTAAATCTCGAATAACTTGTTATTAATCAAGCTTACCTATATCTATATTTGAAACTATATTAACTCTAACTAAAAATATAAAGTAATTAATTTATAAAAATATACTTTTAAATATAAAGATTTATATACTTCAAATAATAAATAAAATAATAAATAAATATCAATACACAAAAAAAACTTAATTATATTAAAAAGAAATATTCATTAAATAAAAAGCTCTTAATATATTATCTTAATAAAAGATTGATATTTAGATTCAATATAATAAATATCAAAAAGAAAGTAAATTTAATAGAAAAGTATTTTCTATTTAATATTATAATAAATATAGAAAAAACAGATTACAATATAAAAATCTATCAAAATAATATAATAGATTCTAAATTATTAAATTCTAAATAGTTTTAATTAATTGATTTAATTATTGTTGAATAATATGGGTTTGAAAGTGTAAATTAAAGTAAAAGTGATGCATACATTGATATGATGCACGCATTAATAAACTACATTAACTCTCTTATACTTGATAAATAATTAATAAATAATATTAGTTTTATTATACTTATTTATTAAAACGATAATATATTCAATCTAAAAGAACAAATTTTTATTATTAGTAAAGGATGTATTAATAAATATAATTAGTTTTAAAGAATTTATATTAAATGGGACAAATTGTAGACCTCTTTTTAAATTATTAATTTGCTATTGAATATATTTATTAAGAGAATTAGTATCTTTTTTCTTAAAATTAACAATTTGTATAATATAAGATAGATTAAAAATTACTTTTGATTAATATATTATTATAATATATACTTTTTGAGTATATTATATAATGTATTAATTCTTTGTTATTGTAGATTTTTTCAATTTCCTATATATTTTTTGTATATTAAATGATTCTAATTTAATTAGATATAGGTTTTTATATTAATTTTTTTAATTAAGGTAAATCGTATAATTATTTCATTAAGTAATTAATCCACTATTAAATTTAAATAATATTAAATGTTATGTTATTTTTGATTATATATAGGAAATATGGATTATAAGTCGATTATATCATTTTGAGGGTATTAATATAGTGCTTATGGTAGATGTTAAATCAGTAATTGCCTGCTTCTGAAATGTTATATAATGATTGTACTACTTATAGGATAAAACCTTTTAGAATGCTTATCTTTATTAATAATTGTATATAAAACTTTTGAATTAAATTTGATATTGATTATATATATACTTATATAATGTTATAAATACTTATAATTATTTTATTCTTTAGGAGTATAATTATCATTAATAATATAATTTGTTAACTAATATATTATAATGTAACTTATAGTGAACCAGGTTATATAGGGAATCGGGTTACATTTAGTTCATTACTGACTTCATGTTACGCCGGTCCATCCTCGGTACCGCGTCACATGACTCTTAGCACGTGATGGACCCTGCATGACAGGCATAACGGAATGTAGGTCCATACAGACCAAAGGTCCAGGACCTCTCTAGGTCCTGAACGCTCCAGTACAATACGAAGGTCTATATAAGGGAATGGGATTTCATTACAATGTAGAGCTTCGTGCTCAAGATCAATCATTAGTTTCATACTATAGTTACGAGAATTGCAACCAGTTACCAACCTTATTGAATTCCTACTTGAAGTTTAGTCTAAACCACCTCGAGAGAACTCTAGACACTTCCACGTGACCCTAGAGGCAGCTCCCGTAACACTTTGAGCACCATTTCTGCTTCAAGTACCAATTCAATACCAACCGACGATATGGCACCCACCAGTGCATCCGCGAGCAGTCAGG